ATTACAACGGCCGGCCGGGAAGCTGCTCGTCGGGCTCCACCGTCCTGTGTATGTATGAATGTATGTATATCTATATACATTTATACACACTTTGATCACCCAACAAGTATATTAACTCTTGATCATTTTGGGATGCCTACAGCAACATACAACATCCTGAAATACTCATACATTAATTTTTTGAATGAACTTTTTATTAGGCCTGAATCTTAGACATTCAAAACTTTTTCCACAGGAAATGCAGTCTGACACCGGGGTCGGATTGTAAAGCAGGCTATAAACAACTGCCCTCCTCCCTGTGATTCTGTGTAACACGATCACTAAACACCAGCTCTACCTTTACACACAATACACTGTCCAGGGGGTTGCCACTATGAATACTGATGAATGGGGGGGAGAGAGAGCTCAGTTGTAATATACTGCCATTTCCCCCGAGGATGTAAAGAGGAAAGCTAACAAAAAATGTATGCTTCTCTGTTCATATACAGCAACTGCATATTCCTGCTTCATGTTCACTCGGTGTAAATTGCTGGCATATGTTTTTTTTTAAATTCCTCTGCAAAAGTGAAAATGGGTGTAAATAATGTTTTATGCTAATGTACCTATACTATACACAACATCAGGGCTTCCTGCACTGCCATATTATGAGACTGTTTATTACTCCATCCTGTACACCAATTTTTTTTCCCCTCACAGACTTCTTGCAGCTATGACTTTTATATACAAATTACTGAACATTCTTGTCACGGATCATATAATTATTTTTTGTTACAAGTCGCATTCTGATTAATTTCTTGCTGCCTGATTTTGAAATGCACATTTTAAAGATCTCATTACATTCTATGCTGTACAATCTGAACAAGAAATGTGCCTGCTGAGGACTATGTACTGGCTGACCAAAGGACACCTAATATGCAATGCGATTCAGCATACAGGTGGGAAGCAGTCCCAGATCGCAGAAGCTACTCCTGATTGAAAGTTGAAAATCAGTATCCATTGATAAATTAAATTGCCCTTTCAGTACATGTGAAGCGTTCACATTGACTGAACCTGGAGATTTTTCATTCTGTTGACTGCATCCTTTATTCTCTCTGGAGCATGACATATAGTTTCACTGAAGAGACGTAAGAAAGGGATGTTAACCGCCGTCACAAAAGTGATACTTGTCATGGTAAATTTTCCACATTACTGATTGGCCTCAGAATATAACAGCTGCAAATTGCAATTCCTCGCAGGCAGCTATTTCTCTGTGTGCAAAATAAGACGGACATGGAGCTTTTTACACAATTTTGGCAGAGGCTATGGATCTTGATTTGCTGGAGAAAATGTGAACTAGATTTAGATGTACTTTGTAGTAGGGGTAATGTTGTTTGTAGACTGGAGGCCTGGAGCATACACCTCTGTTCTATTTAGGGAATGTACATTTTATTTATCATTTAGCAGCTTTCAGAATGAAACACTACTCTACGATGTCCAAAATCAATATACAGTGGCATGCAAAAGTATCCCCCCCCCCCCCCCCCCCCCCAGTGGCATTCTTCCTATTTCGCTGCATTACCACCAGGGATTTAAAATGGTCAATACATTGTAAAGCCACCTTTTGCAGCAATTACAGGTGCAAGTCTCTTAGGGTATGTCTCTATAAGCTTGTCACATCTAGCCACTGGGATTTTTACCCATTCTTTAAGGCAAAACTGCTCCAGCTCTTTCAAGTTGGATGGGTTTCACTGGTGTAAAGCAATCTTTACATCATGCCACAGATTCTCAATTGGATTGAGGGCTGGACTTTGACTAGGCCATTCCAAGACATTTAAATATTTCCCCTTAAACCACTCGAGTGTTGCTTTTAGCGGTATGCTTAGGTTCATTGTCTTGCTGGAAGGTGAACCTCCATCCCAGTGTCAAATCTTTGGCAGACTGAAACGGGTTTGCCTCAAGAATTTCCCTGTATTTAGCACCATCCATAATGTCTTCAATTCTGAATTTCCCAGTCCCTGCCGATGGAAAAAAATCCTCACAGCTGCTGCCACCACCATGCTCCACTGTGGGGAGGGTGTTCTCAAGGTGATGAGAGGTCTTGGGTTTGCGCCAGATTAATTTTAGTCTCATCTGACCAGGGTACCTTCTTTCTTCTTTCATATGTTTGGGGAGTCTCCCACATGCCTTTTGGCCACAGCATATGTGTTCGCATATTTTTCTCTTCTCTTCTTCATGACTTTTTTCTGGCCACCCTTCCACGAAGGCCAGCTCTGTGGAGTTGTACGGCTTAGAGTGGTCCTATGGACAGATACTCTAATCCCGGCTGTGGAGCTTTTGCACCTCCCTCAGGGTTATCTTTTTTGCCTCTCAGATTAATGCCCTCCTTGTCTGGTCCTTGAGTTTTGGTGGGCGGCCCTCTTGTGGCAGGTTTGTTGTGCTGCCACATTCTTTCCTTTTTTTTTTTAAATAATGGATTTAATGGTGCTCCGTGGGATGTCCATAGTTTCTGATTTTTTTAAATTTATTTATAACCCAACCCTGATCTGTACTTCTCCACAACTTTTTCCCTGACCTGTTCGGATAGCTCCATGGTCTTCATGGTGTCGCTTGCTTGGTGATGCCCCTTGCTCAGTGGTGTTGCAGACTTTGGGGCCTTTCAGAACAGGTGTATATAGTGTATACTGAGATCATTTTGACTCTTCGATTACACACAGGTGTTCATTTAACTAATTATGTGACCTCTAAACGTAATTAGTTGCACCTGATCTTATGTAGGGGCTTCATAGCAAAGGTGGTCAATACATATGCATGCACCACTTTTCTGTTTTATTTTTTATAATTTCTTTAAAACAAGTTTATTTTCTTGATTTCCCTTCACCATAGTGGACTATTTTTGTGTATGTCCAGTACATGTAATCCATTTTATTTCCAGGTGGTAATGCAACAAAATAGGAAAAATTTGAATACTTTTGCAAGCTCTGTGTATTTTATTTTAACATGTACATTGTGCTTGTTACGTTTTGGCTACCTTCGATTTTCTTTTCCATTCCTTTTATATTAAACTTTCCATTATACAACATGAATCAAAATTAACTGGGTATGAGACCTCCTTATAAAAGCCATGACTTAGAGACCCTCTTACCAAAAAATTGAAAGTAAACAAATTTAAAATAGGGTATTTTAAATGCTTATTGATGTTTTTTTTTTCTTTTACATAAATAATTTTTTTGCTCACTTGCCATGGGCCTTTGGACTTGCTAAATAATGTGTCTGTTTCAGGAAGAGTTAATTCCCTAGGAGCCCCCTTCCTCATTGCACTTCATTGCTCTTTCCTCTTCTGGGAGTGTCTGATTACTGTCTGGGTCATAGCTACTGGGAACGGAGTAAAAGGGAATACTCTACAGCAGGGGCAGGCAAACTCAAGCCCTCCAGCTGTGTTGAAACTACAAATCTTATTATGTACTTGCTTGTGGCTGTCAGTGCCTCATGGGATTTGTAGTTGCACCACAGCTGGAAGGCCAAGGCTGCAGGTACTTTGGAGCAATTCATCCTTAAAGTGATATTAAAGCCTAATTTTTTTTCAATTTCTCCTTTAGGGAGACCCTCCTTTTGCTGGAGGCTGTTGCTTTTTTTAATTTAAAAGTTTCTAAGTCCTCGTTTTCTAGTGGCTCCCGCCGCGCTCTTCCCCCCTGCACGGGTGCCACCATCGTTCTAATGGAGGCACCCATGCGCGTTCGTGCCCGCTCGTTTCCGCAGTGGCTGTGTGCATCCATAGACACGCACAGGCCTGTGGCAGGCCACGCCCCTCCCCACTTTGAAGGCAGAAGGAGCCTATGGCTCCTCTGCCATCAGTATCCTCCCCCACTACCCGGAAGTTCGGGGAACGGAGGATCGCTTCAGGACCGGCGGCGAGGCCACGTGCAGCTGACAGATAAGTGTGGGGGGGACTGGGGTAGAAAAAAAGGTGCTGGACCATTTTTACACTAAAGCAGAGAATGCATTAAGGTAAACGCCCAGACCTTAAAACTACTTTAACATTTACAGCAGAAGCACTCTAAAACAGCCCAGTTCATCCGCCCCCCTCCTCTCCCCCCCTTTCAGCGGTGGCAGCCTTCCTGCTTTCTATTATCTAATGTAAGAACACAGCAAGTGCTCAAGGAGGAGAAATAGAGTAAGCTGAGCAGCCAAGAGAGCCAACTGGAACAACAGAAGTGCTTTTGCTTTGGCCTTTGAAGATGAATAGCTCTTTAATGTCTGCAGCTATAGAAGTCAGCGAAGGCTTGTTGTAAAGCTGATTTACAAAATGTAAAAAATATGTAACTACTTGAATGTCCGTAGCCTAGCCACTATAACGTATACTACTGCCACTGTCGTAAATACTGTGACTTGGTAGAAGAATAAGCAGGCTTCTGGCCACAATAGCAGCCATGAAATTGTGATCACATTTTACAGACACTCGATTCAGGATGGTGAGTGGGAGGAGATTGGGGAACAATTTTTCACTAATTTCCTCTTATAATATGACCAGAGCTGACAGATCCAAGCCAGTTCAGCGGGGTAACAAGCAGATCAGGGAAGACATCAGTCATAAGTGCAAGGGGATACATTAAGAGTCTCTATAAATGGAAAATGTCACGTGTACAATGCTATCACATAGTGGGCTTGTCAGCCTATGTCTCCTGTTGTTTGGTATCGTAGTGGGCACAATTTTACGTCTTTAATATTTTGTATCTGTTTGTTTGTTTTGGGGGTTGTAAAAACATTAACATGTCAAAATTTGCATTTTACCAATGTGGCTGAAAAATGCTTCAGCAGAAAACGGGTTCGATCAGTATTGTTCGAGAGCACCATTTCTCAAACTTTTTTTTTAGTCTTGGCACCTTTTAAAAAGTATGCAAAATCTCAAGCACCCCAGCCCAAAATTTGAAAACGTAAATGTAAAAAAAAACAACGTGTGCTTTATCTCTCCCCAGTCTGTTAGTATCTTGCATATAATTTATTTGATTTCTTGTGTTTTACAGGTCCTGGCATCATGTCGCGCCTTTATATTGACAGCTCGAGTCCCATGCAAGGTTAGTTTTTTTTAAATCTCCTTTTCCTATTTCTACTCCTCCTTATTTCCCCAATTGGATATTGAGGTATGTCATTAGCCAAACCTTTTTTGCTGTCCACTTTCTGAGTGGAATTATCAAAACTGGAGCAGACAAAATCTGGAGCAGTTGTGCAAGGCAATCAATCGGCTTCTCTCTTTCATTTTCAAATCTTAACTGAACAAACTGCAGAGAGAAGCTGATTGGTTGCCATGGGCAACTGCTCCAGTTTTGATAAATTCCCCTCTCTGTTTTTGAGACACAACAGAAAGTAAGTGTAAATCTCCAAAGTTGTGCACTTTGGAAGCCTTTTCCTCTATTTCTGTTCAAGTGACAACTATAAGATTGTGGGTGTCCCATTATTTCGTGCCCCAGTAACCAAAGTTACCAAGACAAAAAGAATGGATGAATATCTCCAGCAGGAAGAAGAATATAGTCACCACCACATGGGTATTCACCTAATGGTTACGTCTCTATTGACGTCAGAAAATCATGTCATCAGTGCAGTATTTCAGAACCAGGCTGGGTCCCTTTTATGAGGCAAACAACGTGAGCAATCTCCAGCAGGTGCAAAAAAAGGGGGGTTCTAACTGTTCTCCTCTCTGTTTGAATAAATTCAAATAAATATGGCCTGTAGATGCACTCTATCATCTATGTGATCAAAATTTTTCGATCAGTCAGGTTGAAAATTTTTCTCTGACCGAACGAAAATCGATGAATCAGTGGGGTTTTCAATCGTCAAAAATCTTAGCAAGAACACCGCACATGCGCAAAAGAAAAAAATATTTCCATTGTTCGTCAAAAATTGGTTAGTATGGCTAACTAACGATTCCCAAAATCGATATTTGACTATGCTTGATGAGGTATTCGAGCTATAATCGAACGAGGGTTTGTGGCAGAAATGAAAGATTTCGACCGAAAATCTACTAGTGTATGGCCACCTTTTAGGCTCGGGCCAATAAAATTAATTAAAAAGACAAATGAGTAGTAAAGTAGAACTACAAGTTGTTGCGTATATAGCAGCAATCTCGCCAAGCAGTAACTGTGAGGTTGTTGTCCTATAGCAAAGTCTAGGTTTTATATTGTTATTGATGAGTAGCAATGGGACTTGTTCTAAGTGGATGTGAAATTGTGGTGGAGAGTTAAAGGAGACAATCACAGCTCCTGAATTTCATAACTCTCAACTGTCCCTCATTTTGGATGGATTGTACCTTTTTGGAATTGAGGAATGTATCAAAATTGTAGCAGACAAAATCTGGAGCAGCTGTGCACTGCAACCAATCAGCTCCTGTCTTTCATTTTCAAATCAGAACTGAAGAAAGAAGCTGATTGGTTGCAATGTGCAACTGCTCCAGTTTTGATCAACTCCCCCCATTGTGTCCCTTATGACTCCTCAGCTGTATCTCTACTTTTTTTTTTTTTATTCTGATGTATGAAACTAATAATATTAATTATCAAAAGTGTTCTATTACACCAGTCCTTTCATCCAACCGCTAAATGATTGCAATCCTTATTTTTAAAATGCTAGTATAAAGGAAAATTAGTGTTAAACAAAAAAATGTTGGTTTAACCAATCCTTTTTAGTGTATTCTTCATGGTCCACATAATTGGGGGTGTGGTAGTGGTGTGTCCTTTGCCTACATTTTTGTTCCCCTCTTTTCCATCTCAGAGTTGAGAGGTATGGAATTTGCGCATACTATGTAGATAAAGGCAATATCCCTTTTATATACAATTCCCCATTAAACATATTTAATAAGGAATTCCCTCTTCTACCATATTGTTTCCAATACAAATGTACTAGAACTACCACATGGTAATATATGTTCTGTTTAGTAAAGGAATATATCAGGAAATGTACACTGTATAGTCAAAAAGAAGCCAAACACTCTAATATTTCTGTGGACCACCTTTAGCTTTGATTCTGGTAAGCATTCACTGTGGCATGGTTTTGATAAGCTTAGGAAATGTCACAACATTTCTTTCCGTCCAGAATTGCAATAATTTTTCACCAGGATCTTGTAGCGATGATGGGAGAGTCAGACCACTGAGTGAAGTCTTTTCCAGCACATCCCAAAGATTATCAATGAGGTTACAGTCTGCACTTTGTTGTGGCAAATCCTTGTGTGAAAATTATGTCTCATGCTCCCTGAACCACTCTTTTATTTTGAGCCAATGAATCCTGGCATCATCTTGGAATATGCCTGTACCATCAGGGAAGAAAAAAATCAATTGATGGATAAACCTGGCCATTCAGCATATTCAGGCAGCTGACATCATTTTGTGGGCACATAACATTGCTGAACCTAGACCAATTATCTTATGGAATTCTATTTGCTTAGCTAAATCCAGATGGTAACTTGTTTTGGCCATGTAGTGTATATTGTATGAATTACACACCCTGAAACAATTTGTTTTTGTTATCTGCTTTGTAGAAAACCAAAACCTGGTTTACCTTTGCATCAATTGACCTCCTCAATCTGCAGGTGCCCATACACCTTACGACCATCGCAAGACCTTTTGTCTTGCGATGGTCGTAAGCTCATTGAAAGCTCGTACGATCTGCCCATCTTGGACGGGCAGATCGTACTTGTGATCATCGAAAGCCTGCCCTGCTGAGGGGCGGGCTTCCGATCACTGCAAACGGGCAGTGTGCGCACACCGGCCCGTTCGGCAGTTGTCGAACAAGCAGGCCACTAGCTCGCCGAGCATCGTACGATTCTCCGCGGGTTTTCAAGCATGCTTGTTCGACGGAAGACGTGCGACCGTACAGTAGAAACGGTCGCACGCCTTCCATACACTGTACGATTCTCGTACGATCGCGGGATTTCCCGCGATTCTCGTACAAGAATCGTACAGTGTATGGGCACCTTAACCGCATGCAAGTCGCTCAAACAGATTAATTACTGGTCTGTTAGAATTCACAGTCATGTGGGTAGAAAAAAAACAATTAAAGTTTAATGGTTTTGCTAGTTAGAAACTATTTTGTTTGGTGGTAGCAGAGGTGGGAAGTCTTTAAATAGTGACAATTTTGAGATGTTAGAGTTAGAAAAAAAAAATCAATAGGACGAGGGCTCTTTTAGGATAAAAAATAGCATGATGCCTGAATCCTGCTGGTGTTGACATCCTTATCTTTTTTACAAGCACCCTGGTAGTTTAATACATTGGTGCAGGAAACCATCCCTTTTAAAAGTAGAGGCATTTTGAATCACTGTGGCTTTACGCTAATAATTTGTTTTTCATATAGTAAAAATGATAATCCTTTTGAGAATGTGTTTTTGACCTCTTATTGCTGGTCTTGTGATGCTTAAAAGTTTGGTGCTAATTAGTAATTAAACCTTCGGTGATCTTGTCCTGCGGTTCAGATAGTTTGAACTGATATTCATATAAAGCTACATGATGAAGTATACTGGTTTACAATGAAAGCATCAATCACATTAAGCACGTTAGTTCTAGCACTATATGTCATATACAGTGGGGCAAAAAAGTATTTAGTCAGCCACCAATTGTGCAAGTTCTCCCACTTAAAACGATGAGAGAGACCTGTAATTGGCATCATAGGTAGACCTCAACTATGAGAGACAAAATGAGAAAACAAATCCAGACAAATCACATCGGCTGATTTGGAACCAATTTATTTGCAAATTATGGTGGAAAATAAGTATTTGGTCACCTACAAACAAGCAAGAGTTCTGGCTCTCACAGACCTGTACCTTCTTCTTTAAGAGGCTCCTCTGTCCTGCACTCATTACCTGTATCAATGGCACCTGTTTGAACTTGTTATCAGTATAAAAGACACCTGTCCACAACCTCAAACAGTCACACTCCAAACTCCACTATGGTGAAGACCAAAGAGCTGTCGAAGGACACCAGAAACAAAATTGTAGACCTGCACCAGGCTGGGAAGACTGAATCTGCAATAGGCAAGCAGCTTGGTGTGAACAAATCAACTGTGGGAGCAATAATTAGAAAATGGAAGACATACAAGACCACTGATAATCTCCCTCGATCTGGGGCTCCACGCAAGATCTCACCCCGTGGGGTCAAAATGATCACAAGAACGATGAGCAAAAATCCCAGGACCACACGGGGGGACCTAGTGAATGACCTGCAGAGAGCTGGGACCAACGTAACAAAGGCTACCATCAGTAACACACTACGCCGCTAGGGACTCAGATCCTGCAGTGCCAGACGTGTCCCCCTGCTTAAGCCAGGAAATGTCCGGGCCCGTCTGAAGTTTGCTAGAGAGCATTTGGATGATCCAGAAGAGGATTGGGAGAATGTCATATGGTCAGATGAAACCAAAATAGAACTATTTGGTAGAAACGCAACTCGTCGTGTTTGGAGGAGAGAGAATGCTAAGTTGCATCCAAAGAACACCATACCTACTGTGAAGCATGGGGGTGGCAACATCATGCTTTGGGGCTGTTTCTCTGCAAAGGGACCAGGACGACTGATCCGTGTACAGGACAGAATGAATGGGGCCATGTATCCTGAGATTTTGAGTGCAAACCTCCTTCCATCAGCAAGGGCATTGAAGATGAAACGTGGCTGGGTCTTTCAACATGACAATGATCCCAAACATACCACCCGGGCAACAAAGGAGTGGCTTTGTAAGAAGCATTTCAAGGTCCTGGAGTGGCCTAGCCAGTCTCCACATCTCAACCCCATAGAAAATCTTGGGAGGGAGTTGAAAGTCCGTGTTGCCCAGCGACAGCCCCAACACATCACTGCTCTAGAGGAGATCTGCATGGAGGAATGGGCCAACATACCAGCAACAGTGTGTGCCAACCTTGTGAAGACATACAGGACACGTTTGACCTCTGTCATTGCCAACAAAGGATATATAACAAAGTATTGAGATGACCTTTTGATATTGACCAAATACTTATTTTCCACCATAATTTGCAAATAAATTGGTTCCAAATCAGCCGATGTGATTTGTCTGGATTTGTTTTCTCATTTTGTCTCTCATAGTTGAGGTCTACCTATGATGCCAATTACAGGCCTCTCTCATCTTTTTAAGTGGGAGAACTTGCACAATTAGTGGCTGACTAAATACTTTTTTGCCCCACTGTACATTGGTGTCTGGTACCCACAGAACCTTTGTCACTGTCTCTGTGTAATACATTGTGTGTGGTCTCTTCCTCTGCTGAATAGAGATTGCTGTGCAAATAAACACTATGGGTATAATAAATAGTTCACTCCCTCAGAGTCATTACTCATGATGTGTTGCACTGTGGCTGTACTGTATTATTCTGACTCATCACAATCCTGGATACGTGACATCAATTTTAAAATAGCCAAACAACCGTACATATTGCTTTTCATGTTTTCAGAGTTTGCTAATGACATTTCCATTTCTTCTTTCGTATAAGGCACATATAATATTTAAGACAATCACAAAAATCCCACCGCTCCAATTCCAAGTCCGATCTCTCACCATCAGCATGTACCAGGTGCAGGCTGAAGGCACGCTTTTACCTCCCGCAAGTCAATCTTCCAAAGACAGCCGCACTGAACAGGCAAGCTTGTATAAAATCAGTCTTTTAATGTCGCTCATCCAACATATCAAATAGTTTACACTAGAGATGACCCGATACTGATACTAGTATCGGTATTGGGGCCGATACCAGGCATTTTCACGAGTACTTGTACTCGTGAAAATGTCCCAGTTCATAAGGCCGACACCGGCCCTTTACATTTTCAAACAGCAGCGGCCGTCAGAGTTCCCGTGCTTGTGGGGACCTCGGCAGCCTGCTGGGGACCTGCAGATAGCTGCCCATGGCAGTGCCTGTCCGGTTCTTTAACTTCTCCTTCCTGGCGCAGGCACAGCCATGGACAGCCCCGGGGGCGGAACTACTGCCCCGGGGCTAGAAGCTGGGGGTTCCCGCCGCACACTGACGGGGAGGACTGGGCCGGGAGATGGATGAAAGTCGCGGGGCCCAGCAGCGCAGATAGTCAGCCGGACTGGACATGGCAGCATCGCCGGTCTGGACATGGGGGAGGCCAGGGCCCAGTATCGTCGGTCAGATGGAGTGCCCACAGAGCCACTGCAGATGTCCACATCACCCGGGTGAGATCGACAGGCAGCCTGGTGAGAGGAATTCTGCTTTGGGGGACATGTATTTGCAGAACACATGTTTAAAAAGCAGAATACATGTCCCCAAAGCCGAATACTATTCTGCCTTAGGGACATGTGTTCTGCTTTGGCATCATGTATCCTGCTTTGGGGACATGTATTCTCAGAATACATGTCCCCAAAGCAGAATACTATTCTGCCTTAGGGACATGTGTTCTGCTGGAGGGACATGTATTCAGCTTTGGGGACATGTATTCAGTTCTGGTGACATCCGTATTTAGCCCTGGTCAGAAACTGCCCTAAATCATAAGTCTGTGTTGTTTTTTTAAAAAAAATGTTGCATGTCCCTTTTAAGAAAAAGTATCGGTAATTGGTATCGGCAGGTACATGAGGAACAGTCCTTGTACTTGGTCTTTAAAAAGTTGTATCGGGACATCCCTAGTTTACACCTCCAATCGCTCCCCCATAGCTACACCTTATACACGCTTACTGGTTGTCTTTGGAAGATTGACATATAATTTTGCATACTCTTTCTTCAAAATCCATCTGTCACTGATCCTGCAGATCAGTTGAATAATCCATCTTGCATGGATCGGGTTATTGACTGCACCACTTATCTACTGTACCCGGCACTATGTAACCATATTTGAGTTAGTGTTCAGTCCAGTAGTGCAGTAGGATGCATGGCATGCTTGGGAGCCTCAAGGAAAGAGGAGGTTCACTGGAGAAATGAGAGCTCATTGCTGCCCTAGAGAGCCTGTGACATCAAGAGGCATATTCATAAAACAGCAAATGTAACATTGACCACATTTTTACTGCCGGTGAACCATTCTGGTGCATGTGTGTTAGCAGAACTGTGGGCAAAAATATTCTTAACCCTTGCAGTGGGGCTACCCCCGTAATGCAAGGGTTAAGTGCTCATTTGTATCTAGGTTCACCCGATCCTCAGATACAGCTGGTTGTGACAGTGCTTCTTCCAGCCTGTCTCCTCCTCCACTGCAGCAATGGTATGTCACTTGACAGCCTCCAGCCCTATACACTGTATAGAATGTGATGACTCGAGGATCCTTGGACCGCTGCAGCGGAGGGGAAAGTGAGGTGGAAGGGGAGCAAGGTATAAGGGACTGGTCTAAGAGCCGAGTGTTTTTTTTTTTTCTTTTTCTAACATCCGTTTTTATTAGAAGTTTTTCAGGATACAAAATCCGAATGATACAGTAATCAAGCAAAAGGGTCACATTGTCATAAAAGATCACTTTGATATTGGACTATTTTGAAAAAAGGCACAGGTTAATCTAGAAAGTTGTAAAAAAACAACAACTGTATAAAAGAACACTCAACTGATCAGACATGGGTCAGAGAATATACTCGAGTGCAGTGACAGTCCATCCAACCTGCGCTGTGCATATGACCAAAACAAAGTTCCAAGAAACAAAACCCAGAAATCATCACAATCGGATTGAGAAAACAAAAAGGAGAGAGTATAAGAGAGAGAAGGAAAGGAGAGAGGGGGGGGTGAGGGGCTGATCAGGTTCATAGAAGCACTGAGTTTTTTTTAACCTAAACACAAACAAGCACTTACCCCTTGAAGTGTGGGGTAAGCCCCACTGCAAGGGTTAACATTCTTTTTAGTGACTATCACATTTGCTGCTTTAATAATATGCCCCTCCCCCCCCCCCATCTTTCGGTGGGTGAAAAAAATGAGCCAAGTTCACATTGCACAGCTTTATTATGTAGCAAAGTGCACTTGTATTTGCTTGTGATAAATTTGTTAGATACCAGCTTAGTGAGATACAATAATGAGAGAGAGGAAGCTAATACAGGAAGTATATAAGCTGTTCAACTGAAAGAGAACCAGCTTATGCAGCACTTCAATAAATAGGCACTGTGAAAAAATAGGAAATGGCTTTATGAATGAAGTGACTGATCGTTCTTTTATCACAGTGGCAGCGAATGAAACAGATTTTAATGTGAGTGATCAAATAATTTTATTTTTATTTTAATATCTTCAGTGCTAAAATAGATTTGTAATATAAGCAATTCAAGACATGTTGCTTACCTGCTTTCCTTCCCGTGTGCTGTGGTTCCATCGAACTGTAAAATGTAGGGGCTTTGCAAGATTCATTTTTTTTAATTGGCGACAGACTCACTTTATAATAGAACTCTGGCAAGGCTATGGACTTTCAAATCTTTACATAATCTTAACAGCAGTAAATGAGATTTAAAACAAAGCCCTTGCTGACCTCTGTAGCTGCAGGCACTGTGAAGCAATTTGTCCTTAAAGCGGAATTCCAGCCTTACCTTTTAGTCTTTCACAATTGTAAAGTCTCATCTACTGTATTGAAATCGCTAACTGTTACAAAGCCCTTTCCTCCACGGTCTGATTGTCCCTGGCCCACCCCTTTCATTTTTTGGTTTTCAGTTTTCTCAGTCATGAGCATTGCGCGGGGCATTCTGCCTATAGTTGCCCACACCTCCATACTAACATTCACCCATTAGGATGTTTTGATATTTGGAAACTCCTTCCAAGAGACAGCCTACTGCTTGTATCAGGTCTGGGGGCTCTGAGGCAAGGTGCTGGGATGTTTTATGATATGTACTGCACCCTATCAGCCCCTCCCGCCAGTCATGATCTATCTGCATTGCACAGACACCCAGTGATGTCACTGGATCCAAAATAAGGTATATAATGAAAACAGGATCACAGTAAAGTCATTCGAATTGGGGGTCCGCATTCGGCTTTCACTCTATTTCTGTGTTTGCATTCGAATTTAGAAGACTGACAATTCACTGAGCCATTGAAAACTAAAGTGAAGGTATTTTTGCTGTAAATTTGAGGATGAATGACTCCACTATCTGCAGCTACAGAGGTTAGTGAAGGCTTGTTTTAGAGCTTGTGTACTCAAATACTTGCACAAACTTATGAGTCTCCATAGTCTGAACACAGTTCTACTTAAAGGCAGAATTAAATTGTAATGTATTTAAGGGCATGGTCATGCTTTAAATATTTTTTTTTTCCCTTTCAGCTGGAATTAACCTTCAGCTATTTAGAAATACAAGGCATGATCTGCAACAAACCGGGTTATGTAAGTATCTATCACATATATATTATAATAAGCCTTCAATTTGAAATAAAGTACAAAGAATATTTCTAAATGGCCGCTCCATAATTTATAACCTAGTTTACAATGCCTACAAAATGTGTTCAATTAGAACTAATTGGAATGATAGCAGAAGAGCTTCTTATAAGAGTGGGCAACACTCACACTTGTATTGCGCATTAGCGTCCTGACTGACAGAAGGTATGCCAGATAACTCTGCGTTCCCATAGAAAATGCCACATTCTCTCTTTTAGCTGTCAAAGCTGAAGTGGTTTCCTGCTACAAAGGTGTATTTCTATTCTAGTTATACTGCTATTTTTGTATGCTGTATCCCCTGAATGTACGCTGTGCAAAAATTATACCAGAAAGGATGACAGTCTCTTATTAATAAGTGCAAAGAAAAATAGACTAGAAACTGATGAATGCAATCGGATGTATATCAAAAAATTATATACTACATGCATGGAGCTAAGGCAGCAGTACTTTAACGTGGACCTTTCCGTAAGTGCAAGAAGGCAAAAAATAAATCCCTGACATTTTCCAATAGGTTTTCAAACAGCTGTACTTTTTTCATAAAAAGCAGTCCAAGTGACTTCACCCAGGTTTAGATTATGTCATCAGTCTGCTGCATAGACAAGGAAGCATTTTCTTTAGTCTCCTTTCCCTCCAGTAATCAAACTGAAACTTGAAACTTTGTAAGGTGAGGGGCTATGACAGGTGGATGATCAGTGTCGAACAGCCAAGAACGACTCACGGGCACCAGGAGCTACATGGTTGTGTAATCTCTGAGCCATCACCTATGCCTGAGAGATATATGCTGACCCTAGATAGTTCCTGAACAAAGATGGCTCTGTCTTTCTTCCAGTAATTGGACTGAAACCTTGTACTGTGTCACAAGGTGAGAGGCAACAACAGGGGGCTAATCAGTGTCAGATAGTTGTTAGCACAGCCAAGAACAACACTTGTTCTTGTGGCATCAGTGTTGTGTTATCTCTAAGCCAGCACCTTTTGTCTGAGAGGTAGATGCTGACCCTGGATAGTTCCTGAACTTCTCGCACAAACAGCACCCTGTACAAAGCATCAATGGAATGCTTAATAGCTCTTCCTCAAATATAAGAGTAGCTCCCCCTGGTATTTTGGGTGTTGCTGCCCTACCTCCAAATGCCGGTTCTGGAGGAATAACCAGCTTCCTTTTTTGTCTCTCACTCATTCCCAGCAGACCTTGGTCCCAACCCTTGATGACCTGTCCAGCGCCTTCAGTGAAAAGTTACTTTCTAGACATGCTGCTTTCAAACTCTGTGCCATCTTCCAGCTTCCGTTTGTAATGCACGTTGAGGGTTTCCCCTTTTACGAGATTTAATGGGGCATTTTTTCACTCTCTTCTTCACCTCAATTTGTAATGTCTTGCTGTTGTCTTTAGAAAAAGCTGAGGGTTGCAGGAAGAGAACAAGTACGCAGCAGAAAGGTGCAAGTAAAATAGTGTTCATGATGGCGGCAAATTGTGCTTCAAGCAGTTAAGTCGCACACAGTTCTATGCCCTCTCCCCAGTCTGTCAGCACATAAAACCACCAATTTAAGGTCAAAAGGGTTTTTAAGCTATTTCAAGTGCTGATAACATCAGTTACAATGAGTGCTTGATGTCTAAAGGTTTTAGCTTTCTGCAGAATCAGATATGTCCCTGAGCACTGCCGCTGATATAATCTTTTAGGATCCTATGGATATACTGTTTTAGGGTCCTATGGAGACACCCTTGTGTGTGCTAGTATGTTTTGTATGTCTCCACAAACACGCAGAGACAGCAAGGCAAGTCGCTCCCCGCTCACTCCACCTTCCTTCTCCAAGCTAGTAGATGGAAAGCTGTAGTCTTCTCTGTTCCTTGTGATATTGTACAGGACAGGAAGTTCAGGGAAAGGGAGCCAGCTGTTTGGAGACATGATGACTGTAAGTGTTTGGGCAAAAAATATAAAGAAATACTTTCCTGGGCAATGTATATTTGATTCATTATTCGAAAAAAATGTTTCTTTAATACTACTGCAAAGTGTGTGGAAACGTATACAATTGCACCCACATTGGGTGTATAGCATTTTTAGTATTTATACTTGTTCAGAAAGTTTACCCAATTTCTCATTCATGCAGACATTACATAATTAGGTGTTGTGTTTTTATGTGCGTGCACTGTAAATGTATTTAACACATAATTCTATGCACTGAGAAATCCGTTTTTCCAGAATAAAGACTTGATTTATTTCTCAGCCTTTGAAAGCACTGAAAATGGTACAAATCACTGCAGTTTGGTCTCATGGCGACACATGAATTGTGCCTAGTTAAAGTGATGAAAAAGAAATCTGAACAAAGAAAGTCTATCTATCCTTCTCGTTGCTGCTACACAACACTAGGGGGTCTATTTAGGAAAAAGGAATTGTGAAGTCCCAGCTTTTACTATCCTGTTATAACATCAGCATTGGGGTAGGAATACATACTAGAGTTATTTTTGATAATATAATCAAAGCTTACTTGAAAAAAATCCCTTTTATGTAGTGAGTGCTGCCTTCTGTATGCCCGTCACTGTCAACAACTTCCTGCATTATCAGTGTGCTTTGTATCTCTTTCCCTGCTGCTTGATGTGATGTATTCTCGACTTCTCAAGACTACTTAGAGTTGTTTCAATTCTATGGTTTTAAGTCAGGATATAATTAAAAAAAAAAGATCATCTGGTCCTTGGCAGGTCTTAAAATTAGGTAAACTCAACCTCAGATTAACAACAACACATGACATATTACACATGCTATTATTTATTTTACAAACATGAAGCCAAATGTGAAAATCTAAGTAAACCTTATAATTCAATAGCATGTAGAATCCCCTTTAGCAGCAATAACTTGAAGTAATCGTTTTTTGTATGACTATCAGTATCACATCGTTGTGGAGGAAATTTTGGCCCACTCTAACTTACAACCTTACTTCAATTAATTGAGGTTTGCAGGCATTTGTTTATGCACAGCTTCTTAAGGTCCCACCACATAATTTAAATCGGGTTGAAGTCTGGACTTTGACTGGGCCATTGCAACACCTTAATTCTTAGATTTTTCAGCCATTCTGTTGTAGATTTTCGGGTGTGCTTGAAATCATTGTCCTATTGCATGACTCCCTTTTGGCTAAGCTTTAGCTGTCGGACAGATGTCCTCACATTTGTCTCTAGAATACTTTGGTATACAGAGGAGTTCACGGTAGACTCAATGACTGCAAGGTCCTCGGGTCCGGTGTCTGCAAAACAAGCCCAAATCATCACTTCTCCATCACAGTGTTTGACAGCTAGTATGAGGTGTTTGTGCTGATATGGTGTGTTTTGGTTTTCACCAAATGTGGCCCTTTGCATTATGGCCAAACATCTCCACTTTGGTCTCGTATGTCTAAGGGACATTGTTCCAGAAGTCTTGTGGTTTGTTCAGATGCAACTTTGCAAACCTAAGTCCTGCTGCCATGTTCTTTTTATAGAGAAAAGGCCTTCTCCAGGCAAATAAACCTTACTTGTTCAGTCTTCTTCCAATTGTATGTCATGAACTTTAACATTTAACATGCTAACTGAAGCTTGTAGAGCCTGAGATGTAACTCCTTTTTTTTTGTGCAATTTCTCTGAGCATTGCACAGTCTGACCTTGGGGTGAATTGCTGAGAAGTCCACTCCTGGGAAGAATGGCAACTTCCTGGAATGTTTTACGCTCATGAATAATCTCTCTCACCGTTTAATGATGGACTTTACATTGTTTGGAAATAGTCTTATAACCCTTCCCCAATTGATGGACAGCAACAATTGCTTCTCTAAGATCATTGCTGATATCTTACGTCCTTGGCATTGTGTTAACACACACCTGAAGGCTTTGTTGTGACAAAAGGAAGTGCATATTCACAGGACTAAGTGAAATTGTGTTGCTGCATTGAGGAAGTAAATCCTATGGGCATCTTTAATACATAGGTCCCTAAATGTCTAAATCCTTATTGTTATTAGGAGTTGGATATAATTTACAGAAATTCAATATAGAAATACATATTTATTTTTAGTATTTGACCATAGAGAGCCTTTAACTAGCAATTGCCTTTTTAGTATTCAGAATCTTTTGCACAATGTATAACGCTATGGCTGCGAATGGGGCAAAACTAGATGTTCTTAAGGCATTTTCTCCTGAATGTTCTTAGTAGAGGTGCATCTAAATTCAATTTTGAAACCGAAACTAATAAAATTATCAGACCGAAAAACTATTATTTTTGTCTAACCTTTTTAATTTTTTAATAAATATTTTTTAACTTTACTGTCGGGGACTCTGGGAAATATCAGGGGTCTAAACAGACCCCTGATATTTCCCTTTTAAAATAGAAAAAGAGATTGAGAACATAGTCCTTAATCTCCTTTTCCTGCAGCCCTTGTTATGAATGAACAGGAATCCTCTATACTGAGTGTTTCTGTTCATTCATAACTTGTGGAAATAGTATGTTTACTATGTCCAAAATCATGAATGAACAGGAAGTGATGTAGAGCATTTCCTGTCCATTGATAATTGGGGACACAGTAAACATACTTTCTGCTCAATTATTTACTGATCGCTGGCTCCCCATCCTGACTCGCTGTCACAGGAGGCTGAGAGGGTGGCGCGGGGAGGAGAGCTCGGTCTATTTCGACAGCTGACTCCTTCCCCGCACTGCCGGCTCGGCCTCCTGTGACGGCTCAAAGCTGTCTCAGCCCTCACACCGCTCTCCATCCTAATCTGTTAGAGGAGGCTGAGCGGGGAGGTGCAGCAGGAGAGCTCGGCCTCCTGTGACATCGCAGCTCACATCCCTCTCCTCCCCACCCTGCTTGGTGGTGCCTGAACGTAGAGGGGACATAGATCTGCTCCCAGCTAGGAAGATAGAAGCATAATTTCAGCCGAAAGATGGTACATTTTCAGCCGATGTTTCAGAGACCGACATTTTTTTTTAAATGTATTGCATCCA